GTAGATGTCTTCATGCCACCGACTGAGCTACCGGAAGCTAATTGTAACCCCCTTTCTGTGATTGTGCAGAAAAGTTGGAATCTTCATTGCATTCCATCTTTTCTGGACTTTTTGCGGAAAGGAAGCGTTACAAACTTGCGTGCAACTTTTTTTTGTATGCAAATCGACTTTTCTAAATAAAAGTGTCGTTAGCAAGTGCTAAATGAATGTGTAACGTACAAAAAACCAAAACAAAAAAAGGTTTTGTCTAACTGGCGTTGACGGATCCGTCAGAACTATGTGCCATTTGTCGCTATGGGGAATTTTGCAATATTACTAGATAATCAGACGTTATTCTACCGTTAATGGATTCTCGTCAAAAAGATAATACACGCTTTTGCATTTAGGATATTAGTGGGGATGTACTCGTAGAAGATAATTTTCGTTTTCATCTCCCTTCTTACAAGCCAGTGACACTTTGTATACGTTTCTGGACAAACCTATTAAAAACCTAATTATCACGTCTATAATCAACTAGGTTTCGATTTAGTATGTTAGTATGAAAGTTTCCGTTCGAGCACATGTTGAAATTTCATCAAGGGGAAAACAGAAAATATAAAACAAGACTGTTAAGTTTATGGTAGCGAAGCAACGATACTCATTTTATAAACTAATCTCTCTATTTTTAGCGCTAAGTAAATGCGGCACGAAACAAATTACTTCAGGACTGATGTGTATACGTATGTTTGTGTAATGTAATCTATGTGTGAAGTGCACATACCGTACGTACTCATGGCTGCTATGCTCTGATGCTTTGTATAATTCTACACAAACTATACTCGTCGTGTTGATATATTTTCCTGCGGAAATTTGGATCTCAAAGAACGTATAATAGTATTAATTTAGTTTCTTCGGAATTTTGATTTTAAGTAAAACCAACCATTTTGGCAAAATATTATTTTTATTATTAAAAATGTAGAAGTGTTGGAGTTATAAACGAATAATAAGGCAGAATATTTAAACTACAGAGAAGGGCAGTGAGAATATTGTCGAATATAGGTTCTCCAGTAGACTGTAGGAATACTATCAAACAGAAAATACGTTACTTTCAGAATACTCCTTGGTATGTCTGATGCATGTCCACTCCCGGTAAAAACAAAATAAAAATTCAGACGACTAGCAAAATCCTACCACACTATGGGCCGAAACTATACAGGGTGTTTCAAATTCGACCCTCACCTTTGGTATCTCGGAAACTGTGAGTCGCTTAAATGGGGGCAAAGTTGCATATTTAACATAATTAACAAAATACCGCTTAGGAAGTTTCGTACTTCCGGAATGAGACGGAAAATATCCCAAAATCGTTTAAATTTTTTTCTGATATTATTTGTGATGGGATTTCAAAATAAATTGCGCATTAATATGGACACTCTCGTTTCGTCACTTGACCTCCAGCATCAACTTTTTTTTCTCATATCACCATGTTGGATTTTTGCATAGATGAATAGAGTGACACTGCCAAATTTTAGTTATTATTAAAAACAGAATTTCCTAGGTAGGCTTCGGAATTATTAGATAGTCATTTGTTTTGCTTACCAGATTTATCCCAAAATCACTTTTATTTTTCCTGACGTTACTTGAGACGGAATTTCGAAATAAATTGCATGTTGTCATTGTTACTTATTCTCCTCTACAAGATAGCGTAGTGAAATTTCCAATTCGACATTTCTTTTGCATTCCATCACCAATTTTGTTTTTTATATTCACGCTATATTGGATTTTTGTACATTTAAAAGGACTTTTCTGTCCTAAATTCAGTGATGTATTTCCTTGGTTCGCCATGAATTTGATGTTGGATAAAAATTATAAGGAACTAAGAAGATGTAGTGAAACCTGAACACAAAATGAAAATTTTATTGATGGCAATAACCGTAATCATAAATAAGCAGCTGTAAATCATAGCAGATATTAAAAATTCTTTATTTTGTAGGCAATGCCTGACTCTTCTCTGTACATTTATTCACTGCTCGATTTATTTTTCTTCTTCCCAGCCTTCCAAACTCCGTTGCTATGTTCATTTGAAGGCCTAGACTGGTATATAATTAAATCTGATAATATCAACGCCTACCTAGGAACTACCGTTTTTTTTTTGAATAACTGAGGTTTAGCAATATCAATGTATATATACCATTATACAGTTTTGAAATCAGAATAAAAAATTATTCACCTGCGCAAAAATCCAATGTGCAGTCGATAAGAAAAAATAAAGTTGATCCTGGAAGACAAGAGACGAGAAAAACTGACAATGTTATCATGCAATTTATTTTGGAATCGAATCTCAAATAAAGTTACATACATTTTTGGATAAATCTGGTTTGCGAAACAAATTACTATCTGATAATTTCAAGGCCTTGTAGGTACCTTTTTTGAAATAACGAAGGTTTGGCAATGTCAATGTATGACACGTTATACATTTTTGAAATCAGAATTAAGAGCTGTTCATCTGTGCAAAAAGCAATATGGCGTCCGTTAGAAAAATTAAGTTGTTGCTGGAGGACGAAACGTCATATTGAAATTCTAACAATGCCATCTTGTATAGGAGAACAAGTGGCAGTCAGGGAAAAATTAAAACGATTTGAGAAAATTCTGTTTTTTCTGCCTCCGGAGGTACTTTGAATTTCGAAACTTTCTAAGCGGCATTTTGTTGATTACCTAATTGCCTCATTTTAAGCGACTTCGTATCTCTTAGAGCCTCCGAGATCCAACGGTAAGGGTCGAATTTAAAACACCCTGTATCAAAACACTTCCCATGTTACGCTTCATGTCTGTAATACGACAATTCTTAGTGAAGAATGCATTTTATAATCTCGATGAAGTTTTGAGTAATACCAGTGATGTGACACGTAAAAAGGATACATATTTTATTACACCAATTTTTTCCTTGTTGTCTGATGCCTTGTTTTGACGGCTAAACTTTTATTATTTATATTTTTAGCGCTATGTTTTATACACTTTTGTGTTTTATATAGTCAATCTTGTTTTTGAACCATATATTCTGTAATTGTATTTTTTACATGCAACGTAATGCCAAAAATGTATTCATTTGTTGCTGAATCTCGTGTATCCTACTACAGACGGCCAACCATGGATAGCCGTTTCGTGCTTTTTGGAAAACTCATCAGCATGGCCCTGGCTTGTTTTCAGGTAGGGCAACGAACAAAAGCTGAGCAATATCCTCTATCCAGAATATATGGTCTATCGAAATAAGGCAGTACAAAGTGTCATCTGTTACTAGAATCGACAACTGCGACAGTAAAAACAGCAAGCTGCCCGTTGGAACCGTATCCCAGTTCGCTTTTAACAGCCGGTTCACCATGTCGATACTGGCGGTATAGTAACTCACCATTGAACAAACTAGTAATATAGCTTTCGTCCGCCCGACAGCTGTTTCGTGCTTTTTGGCATTGCCCAGTCTTGATCTCCGGTACGACAACGAACGACAGCTGAGCAACTATTCTCTATCCAGAGTATAAGCGTTTGGAGAAATGGCGAAGGAGATATGGGATTACAGTATTTCCTGGACACACCGTTGCGCTTTAATACCTCATCTAATAAAAGCTAGAGGCGACTTTTGGACCAGGGCATCGGGGTCTGGTATATCCGGGTCGAAAAAGTTCATAAGAATCTTTTTTAATGAGAATGGCCCTGTAAAACTTTGTCCGGTGCGATAAAAACAGTTTTTTAATTCGTTTACAAAAATAGTTCCATCAATTTTTGATGTTGTGTAGTTTGTGCCTGACAGACAGACATATTCATTAAAAGAGGTCATTTTTTAATAAGATTATTCAGTAAAACAGAATCAGATTTTTTTTCGAGCAGATGCTCAAAGATACTTGGACTATTCCTTTTTCAAAATTTTGGAAATAAGAGTGTGTTCACTTGAGATTTTCTTGTTTCATTATGTGTTTACATTTTCATTCAGTTGTGGGTTTGGAAGAACATACTTTTTTCACGTTAAATAGGCTACCGGTGATTAAGCACAATCAATTTGTCGTGAAAATAGCTTGATATAAATTATAGTGCCTAATACAGGTACAACTAACGTGACATTGTTCATTGATTTTTTACAGGTACATATATGTACCATCTGCAGGTTGATTTTTGGAACAAGTGATTCTTAGGGAAGAGGTTGGTGGCGTTCTGAAAGCAAATATATATATATTCTTCCAGGATAATATTATTCTGTTAAGAAGTTTATCTTTTAGTATATAAATATCTAATTGAATGTACCAAACATGGATAATATGAAGTTTTATTTACAATTGAAAATATCCTGGTACGAACCGGGATGCGCATATTAAAAAGAAAATACCCGATACCGGGGTATCAAAGAAGTCCGGGTACCCGAAAACCCAAATGCAGATGTATTGACGGACAGGCCCGGGTCGGGAATCGTGAAGAAAGTTTTCGGTTGAACGCCACGTGCATCATGGTTCTGAGCGCCACTACACATGGTGCTAAGTTACCTCTGGTTTTCATCAGAGAAGGTATGACGGCGTAACGGCATATCCAAGAAATATTGGAAATCCAATTTTTGACATTTTTTTCAAACGTTTGAGAATCCTACTTTCCAACAAGTAATAACAGTCCTCTCCGAACTTAAGCAGCTCTTAGCAAGTACAGCTAGTTTGGGATCAGTCGTCTCAATAAAACAATTAGATACATATTAGAAGCATGCCCCCAGGACGCTCAAAAGTATACGGCATCACTTATTAGCGAAATCAGCAATTCCACAAATGTTTCCACTTCAAAATTTAATCACCAATTACTCTTGCTTATAAAAAAATTTATTCATTTTGCTTGAATAGTCTTTATCCATGACGAATTTAAGTCCAGATTTGCCTATTAGAATATATTTTAAAATAATAGGAAACAGCAAATCCCAATCCCTCTTATATTAGACAATAATCACTACTCTACACTCATCGTGTGTCACCGACACTGGCAGTCTTTTGTGACATGTTCCGGCAGCCCTCATGCTATATGCTATCTAGATGAAGTGGGCTAGATAACATTCTACACCGCGGACGGCCGATTAACGTGCCGCGCATTTTTTCCAAACGCAGTATCAAGCAAGCTGTGGAAGCGGTGTTTGTAAGCTTTCGATCGACGTGTCCCGTGCCATTAGCGATCGCGATTCATTTGTTTTTATTGTTGTTTACCGTAAAGTGACAGTTGGTGTGAGGGTTTTCTTGAAGGTTGAAGGGGAACGCCGTTTTCGGCATTTTGGTTCATATGGATGGAAACATATTTGCAGTGAGTTGATTATTGAGGATTCATAGCATTGTACTATATCAATACAGTATTAGTCATGATGTGTAATGTGTTGAAGCCGTTGAAGGCTGGAGTGGGCATAACGTCTTAGCAGCAAGGTCATAAACCATACGTGCGATCTTTGATTTTATACTACTGGTGATCTATTAATAGTCACATGAATATATTTAATGTAACTCCTGAAACTTCATACATGGTGGTTTTCATGATTTTGTATGAATCACTTTTTACTGTCAGTACCATGGTGGCCTTTTTCAAAGTACAGAAATCATCTTTTTCTATTCGGTGACAATATACTATATATTCCAGGTGACAGTATAATTGTTTTTTGCTTTTCTTCGTTACTATACCTCCTGGGGTAGACATTCCCGCTCCCAAAAGTCATCTACTTCTCCCCAAAGCGACAAGCGAGCACTAGGTTATGTTTTAATTATTTTGGGTGTACCAGACTAAACGTTCTCCCAGAACGCGTTCTCATGACAATGAGCGAATGTGACGAGTCTGGTACATCCAAAACAACAGATAACCTAGGCTGGACGTCTTTTAGGAGCAGGAATCCCTACTCCAGGTGGTTCATTGCCATTTTGGAACTATAATTGTGACACAGGACCGTCCAGCCTGTTGTTGCTACACACTGTATATTAGCAAAGAAAAAAACGAACTATCAGCTGGAAGACAGATGAATATAAAATATATTATCGTCATTATCTGTAGGGTAGACCGGGGACAGTTGTACCAGGGGTCAATTGTAACATTTCAAATATGCCCTAGAGTGAGACCGCTATATAAACTTCGCTCGGATGCGCGCGTCACCAAACAACTGCGGTTCTGATTTCAGTGTGCCGGCGGCCATCGCTGAGAGCATTTGTATCTTAAGTGTATTTGTTCGTTTCCGCACGTCAGAAGTAAGTTTTTATTTTTTTTTTCAAATGTTCGTAGTTCTTTTTTACTGCATAATATGCCTGATGTTTTTTCTCAATTAGATTATGGGTAGTGTTAACTACTTTCTGTAAGAGTTACACAAAAAACACAGCAGTGCATATTACAGAAAAATCCATTTTTGTTTTAAAAAGACAGTTGGGGTCAATTGTAACAAATCGTCAGGGGACGATTGTACCGCTACAATTGACCCCTGATTTGTATTTGTTTCGAAGAGGGTTTTCTTTTTATTTTAGATGCCACGGAAAAGGATTAATAAAACGGAAAGAGCCTCACGTGATCTATCTTTATATGAATCTGCATATGATGTGGTACTGTCTGGAACGTCAATTCGAGCAGCTGCAGCCCAATTTGGTCTGTGCCATGTGTCCCTATTACGTTATAAGAAGAAAAGAGAAAACTCAGTCGATTGCATTACAAAAGTTAGTATGGGATACAAGCCCGCTAATCGTGTTTTTTCAAATGAACAAGAAAACGAAATGGTTAAATATATCAAGAAAGCAGCAGATATTTATCAAGGTTTGTCGCCCAAGGATATAAGAAAATTGGCACTGCAATTAGCAACAAAATAAAATTTAAAAATGCCCGAAAAATGGACTGAAAGTGGCTTAGCCGGTGAAGACTGGTTTTCTGGTTTCATGTGCAGGCATAAAGATTTATCTATAAGAACACCACAGGCAACAAGTCTCTCAAGGGCTACTAGCTTTAATCCTACCAATGTTGCCGCTTTCTTCTATAATCTGGCCAAAGTTATGGACCGTGAAAAGTTTGAAGCGAAAGATATTTATAACGCCGATGAGACCGGGATTACTACAGTCCAGAAGCCAAACAGAATTGTAGCTAAAACTGGAACTAAGCAAGTTGGTGCTATCACATCGGCAGAACGTGGCACTCTGGTTACGCTGACTGTTGCCGTTAATGCGCTAGGGAACTCTATCCCAGTTATGTTTGTTTTCCCAAGATTAAGATATCAAGACCATTTTGTTCGGGATGGTCCTCAAGGTTGCGTTGGAGCCGGTAATGGGTCTGGATGGATGCAAGAAAAAGAATTCATAGTATTTTTGAAGCATTTTCAACATCATACCAATTCATCTCAATTCCATAAAGTTTTGCTACTACTAGACAACCATTCATCGCACATCACCATCGAAGCATTGGATTTCTGTAGAACGAATGGTATCGTCATGCTTTCGTACCCTCCACATTGCTCACATAAATTGCAGCCCCTAGACCGCTGTGTATATGGGCCACTCAAGAAAGCTATAAATTCTAGTTGTGATGCGTGGATTCGAAATCATCCAGGGAAACCTATGACGATATATGATATCCCAGGGATCACTGCAACAGCTATTCCTCTGGCACTAACACAGAGTAACATTCAGGCTGGTTTTAGATGTACAGGTATTTTTCCCTTCAATAGAGATATATTTTCTGAAACAGATTTTGGTCCATCATTTGTTACTGATAGACCCTTACAGCCATCAGAAAACCAAGAACTGACTGTTAATAATGAGCAAACAGCTAACAGCAAGCCTCCTGCTGAGCTAGAAGGTGTCAATACAGGTATCCCCTGTTTAATTGATTCAGATAGTGACGAAAATATTCCGTTGTCTGCGTTTCGTTTAAAGGAAGGAAGAGCAGATGCGATCCTTATCAGGACACCTGCAAAACTTTTACAAGTTCATGACGAAGCCACTCCAACTTCGTCAGAATTCGTAAAAGTTGTATTTTCCCCAGAAAACGTTAGACCATTTTCCAAAGCTCCACCAAGAAAAGGTACAATGAAAGGAAGGAAAAAAAGAAAGTCCGCAATTTATACAGACACCCCAGAGAAAATAGAAATAGAGAAAGAAGTTGAGGAAAGAGAAAAAAAGCGAGTAAAAAGAAACTTAGGCAGTCAGGGAAATAGACCAAATAATAAAGTTCCTAGAAAGAAAAAAACTGGATCGGCAGAAAGCAGTGAAGACGAAAATGAATATTTTTGCCTAGTTTGCGTCGAACCTTATGGGAATAGCAGAAAGGGCGAGAAATGGATCCAGTGCACACATTGCAAGATGTGGTCACACGAAGAGTGTGTAGGACAAAACTTGTTCTATGTTTGTCACAATTGTGAGTCAGAGTAATTGTCTGAGTTGGGTATCTCTTAAAGAAACAAGATTGATTTTCATATTTTTTTATTTTGCGTTTACCGTTTTTAAGCTTTTATTGTTCTTAGCTTGAATAAAGAGTTCAAGTTTTTGTTTGCCGACATCCCTTTATTATTAGATATAGGTATTTGTGAATTACAAAATCCAAAATATTGTTTTAAGTTAAATATTTGTTTTTTAAAGATTTTTTTTGTGTATTTGCTCATTTATTTGTGACAATACGAATGCTCATGTTTTATGCCAAAGTATTTGTACAAATTATATATTTGCCGAGTTGGTTACTGCGGTAATGTTTAAATTTGATCAATAACACTAGTTAAAATATATTAAATATTGATGTTACAATTGACCCCCTTAGCTGGTACAATTGACCCAGGGGCTGGGTCAATTGTACCATTTTACATTATTTTTTAAATGTTAAATAACTTCTAAACGTATTATGTTTCATGCATTACAAAAACCGCATTTTGTAGACTATTAGTTACGTTACTTTCAGCCATACCTTGCTGACTGGTAGACATTATAATTTGAGAACATGCGAACAATATAGGCAAAATGGTACAATTGTCCCCGGTCTCCCCTAGTTTGAAAAGTTAGTAAAAATTATGGTTTCATTTGGTCCAAAAATCGTTGATTGATATGAAAATATATTTTGTGAATAAAGCCGCTGATATTTGAAACATATTTGATAGCAAGTTGTCACCTTGTATACCAAAAATCAGCTTTCTTATAATTCTCCAAGTAAATTACACCAAGTGCCTTGTATTCTTGAGAAACATAAACGATGTATGCGATTTCTATGAAAAAGTAAAAGATGTAAATTTTCACACAAGGTTACTATTAAGCCAAAGATGAAAAAGCTTTGGAAACATGAAAGAAATCAAAATTGGGCGCTTAGGGGGGTCATGTCTTTAGTATTAGTCAAAGACGTTCTATCATTAAGAAGGTTCTGATCCCGGTAACAACGGGAAAATTAAATGATAAAAGCCTGATGTATAATGTGCTCATAATTCGAAATGCTTCGTCGTGCTAAAGGTCACTACCAACTGTGCAGTGGGCAACAAACTCCAAGTGGTTAATCAGCGGTGGTGTCGTCACTGACATACCGCTATATATTTTAGCAATTTGTATTTGGATAGTAGGAGTACCTAAGTACCGCTTTAGCGGTATGCGATGCTTTTGTTAAACGTTTCTATATCTTCGCATATTATATTCTTCTGAATTTTATTATCCTTTAATGTACCACCCATTTCGCCTAGCCTTTAATTTCTGTTACTCCGGCTATGATGGTTCTTTGAATATTTCGTCAAGTAGTACTTTTGCGCATTGATATACTCGTACAACAGGCTCGGAGTGACAAATCGAACATAAATGAGAAACACGGACTTGTGTGATTCAGATATTTTTAAGCAACAAAGACGTGCGAACAGGAGTTCGAATATTATCGGGAATCTAATACTTCCATCGTTTAGGTAGTTGTACATTCACCGTTTCAGAGATTCTTGCTCATTTTCAGACATCGTTTGGAGTGTATGAAAATTGTAGGTTGGAAGCTGTATGCGGTAAATAGTTGTAAATTGTTGAATATTTGGGTCAGTGAAAGACCTTGTATTATCAAGAAGCTGCTGATCTCAGTGATACTTTGCACTTGGACATCATAAGTCACACATGTGTATGTTCCTTACATCTGTCATCGAAACAGAAAGAATTGTTTTACATAGTTGGATATGCATAGATCGAAGATTCGTCGATATTTGACGTCATTTTTCGAAATGTCGGAAACATGTCAAAAACACAAAAACTTTTTGCTCTTATTTTCAAGACTGAAGTTTTTCCGAGAAATGTCTTATTATACGAAAGTTGTGTAGCCTATTACAGATCTACCAAGACCAATAC